ATTGAAAAACTACAAACATAATTACCGATAATTTGCCGTTTTGCAGTTGTTTTTGTATTTTTTAAATATTTTTCTTTTCGCTGAAGTCTTGAAATTTCCACAACGAATAGCAATTTTCAATAGCTTCAATTTGATATATAGCCCGACGTTTGGGGTCAAGTATTTCTGCTCATAACTCAGAAAAACTATTTTGGCTTCATCAAATCATAGGCCTTCATCATAGCAGTTAGCCTTCCAGTTTATTTATAGTTCAATGGTTTATCCTATCACACCATGCCAACTTTCCCTGTGGGAGGAAACTGAGCGCCCGGCCCCGAAGAAAACCGATGACTTTCGGCAGAGCGTTGACTCACTCTTTTCACATGAGTCCGTAGCGAGACATCGAATTACCCACCATATCAGAGGTGCAGGCGCTTGGGTAAAAGTATAACACATCATTGCGTGTCTTGAAGGTCTAGCGACGGTAATCCGACACAGACAAGACGATGATCAAAGATCTTCACGTTATGACGAACTCTTGAGTGCAGAAACTAGAGCGGCCAAGAATGCGAAGGGTGTTCATAGCAGGAAAGACGCTCCTACACATAGGATATCTGAAGTTTCAGGTACTTAGATTTACTGCTAAATTACGTACACTTCTGTCTATATAATAATAATAATATTTAATCAGGGGCTTCATATATAACTTCATATCAACAAAGGTGTTTTTCGATGAAGCCCTGTGGAAATTATACCTAAAAATTACATGAGAAATTTTAAGATTACTGTAAGAACATGAATAGAAATAGAATAGATATTTGCACGATTAAAAGTAGTATAAAATTTTCTATATAATGTGTTTGAAAAAAAATTCAACTTTATCAATGATTGTAAAGTTTAGTTTAGTTCTAAAACCGAGGGTTTTTTTCAGGCTTTGAGATTCGGTATATCAGTTAATATGTGCCTTATATAGTTGATCATACAATGAAGTTGAGAGTACAGTATTGTTATGGTTAACTTGAAATATATTTTCTGCACTTCATTTGATACATTTAAGTCTTAGAATATATTTAGGGGGAACTTTCCTTTTGTGCGGCGGTTAGAAATCGAAGCCAAAATTGCAAGTATAAATGGGACTTAGAATGAATGTTTTATCGTTGTTAGGTGATGCATCAAAGGCCAAACAATTTCTCCCGTCCCTCCAGCGAGCTGGACGTATTAGCGGGATTGTAGAGTTCGTAGCGAGCGGCTCAAGGCTGCGAGTATATCTACCCAAGGAAACTTGTCTCATTACTTTGTTATTGGCTGGCATTGAGTGTCCGCGCATGCAATCGACTGGGAACCAAGGTCACATGATCACTGGCGAGCCCTATGGTGAAGAGGCGTATAATTTTACGCGGGAACATTGTTTACAAAAAGATGTAAGTGGATTGTTTTGACTTTTGGTGTTAATGTTCACGAAATTATATTTTAGTATTAGGGAGCATTTTTTATGGCGGGGGTTGGCACCGAAGGGAAATGTTTTTCGTACTGTAGTAAAATTGTTGCTGATCCAACAACTAAAACGTTTTTTAGCCAACCTCAAATATCAATAGACCTTTTCATCACAGCTTGAAAGAGCATCACAAAATTAGTAATATTCCGAAGTTTCGTTGCGAAATGTTGTAAAATGCGGATAATATAGCCTTGCGAAGTTTGCCGTTTTTCAGTCATTTTGCATTACAATTTCCCATTTGTAATGCAAAATGACTGAAAAACGGCAAACTTCGCAAGGATATATTGTCCGCATTTACAACATTTCGCAACGAAACTTCGGAATATTACTAATTTTGTGATGCTCTTTCAAGCTGTGATGAAATTTTTGTCCAGGCATATCTAGATCAAATTTCACTCATAAGGGGAAAGGTCTATTAAAAAAATAAATACACACATGTCTTTCACCACTTCTGTGACATGAGTTTGATAACTGCTTGTGTAATTTTCTGCAGTCTAAAGTTTCATGTTGTTTGCACATGTACTTTCTTTGGAGACAGCATTTGCCTCCTGATAAATCGGAAAATGATCAAGATAGTGACTCTGATTGCATGACTTACATATTGTATTGACATATGACGGTTGACATTGCTCTTTAGTCTCCAATATTTGAGTGAATTATGCTTTGGAAATGACTTTGGAAATGACTGTTGACATTGCTCTTTAGTCTCCAATATTTGAGTGAATTATGCCTTGGAAATGACCCAATTCTTGAGTTGTTTTGTTTTTCATTTACCCAACCTTTTACTCAATCAAAATTTTGTTTAACCAACCCTTTTCTCTTCGGTGTCACCCCCTGCCATAATTCGAAAGATTTAGATCGAGGACGCGGACGTCAAAGACGACGTGAAAATGGCGTCAAAATGGCGTGGCATATCCATACATGGGCACAACACGCCATTTTCACGTCGTCTTTGACGTCCGCGTCCTCGATCTAAATCTGACTAATTGACCGCGGTGGTGTTGTTGTGGCAGTGTTAGGCCCCGTTTACACTATACCGGATTGCTATCGGAGTGGGTCAAATTTTGTAGTTATCGAAAGGCTGTGAAGATTTTTAATCTCAGAGACCCAAATCAACATGCCAATTCTGTCAGACTAATAAGCATTTGCTACTAACCATTGCTCCGTAACGGCAAAAGAAGATGTCGTGACCAGCGAATCCGGTATAGTGTAAACAGGGCCTTAGTCCTCCTCTCTGTGAAGTTGTCTGATTATAATTTCACCTCAGTCACATGTGAGAAGAGTGATGCCTCCCGTTTGACCAAAAACCGCAGCTTTTCGCCAAGGTATTTTCATTGGTTTTCTCCTGCGGTACCACTCATCTAATTTAATTGTTTTTTTAAAAGGTCGAGATTGAAGTTTCGGCTTGTGATCGAGTGGGAAATTTCATTGGCTGGTTATTTATCGATGACCTCAATTTATCACTGTCTTTAGTTAAGGTAACTAATACTAATAACTATGACACCGTCGTTTGCATCTCAGGATAAACAGATCAAATCATCGTCGATTCCCGCGTGAAACGTCAGTGTTTGCCCAGAATATTTGAACGTTTTAAATAGCGTAGCCAAGTTTTTGTAAAATTTCACTCGCAATTTTGCATTGAAATTGAGTGGTTGAAAATTTTACAGAACTGGAAGTTTGTAGACTGAACTCGCAATGCCATACGTTTCCCAAATGAGCAACAAAGATTTGGGCAAATTCTCGAAAATTGGAAGAAATCCTAACGCCCGTATTCTAAAAGCTCACTCGCACTCAATGAGTGGCGTTCAATCTGAGCTTCTCTCGAGTGTCATTGCTGTTTTTGAATAGCTGGAGGGTTAGTGTCATACCTTGCTATGCGACTACTCACCCTCCAGCTATTCAAAAACAGCACTGACACTCAAGGGAAGCTCAGATTGAACCTCCACTCATCGAGTGTGAGTGTGAGTGTGAGTGAGCTTTTAGAATACAGGCGTAAATGTGGAAAAATGCGATTTCAACCGACCACTTTAATCAGATCGTATTTTATCGCAATGATTCGATAAAGGAGTCATGAAATGACAGCTAAAAGCCTGGGGCCGGTTGTTCAAAGCTGGACCAGCGCTAACCCTGGGTTAAAATTTAACCTGCTGTTTTAGTTTGTGTACTTCTAAACATCTGTTTATTTCAAAACTTCAGAGAAGTAAACTGCTATCGATCCAGACAAGATCTCTGAAGAAATATTTCCAAATTTATAGAAAAGCTGTCAGGAAGTTTGCTTCGAATTTTAGGTTAACCTAGGGTTAAAGTGGAAGTCAAGTCCTTGTGTAAACAAACGATTTGTTTATACATTTTGAACTGCTGTATTTTTTTAAAATATGATGTACTGTCTGAATATCTAACACCATTTTAGTTCGCTATGCTTCTAAATGAATATGAATAGAGCCTATGTTCAGAAAAATTCGAAACATTCGAAATTTGGGCAATGTTTACATTAGAACACCGCGGAAAAACGTCTGCGCATGCACCAAATTATGAAAATATGGCGGGGAATTTGAATATCAATTTCTAAAACAAAAACATGCTTATTAATTGGTCAAAAATTAGTAAAACAAACGAGAAAATATAGCAAATGGGTAGACTAGACATTAATTGAAAGCGTCCTGGCATTTAAAGTATGGAATGAAATATAATTCATGTAAAAAATTGTTGATTTTAACGGACACGACTTCGAAAATTTTTGCAAAATTATTCAAAACAAAAATTAAAACTCAAAAGTTAAGAAAACTCTCGAAAAGTTAAGCTTCTTAACCCACTCAAATTGTAGAATAAATCCTAAAGTTTAATTATTGTGAACACGAAAATTTTTTATATTTGGCGACACAGTTTTTTTAAAGAAATGTATCTCAAACGAAAATTCGGAAATTGTCGTTGCTTAGTTGATAAACAAAATGTTTCAGACGATAAATTTGTCAACAATCACCCTTAGTTCATGTTCTTGTACAATACAATTTCTTGAACCTTCTGGCTGTATTTATTTCTAGTTTTTAGAATGACATGTTTATTTTTGCGCTCGAAATCTGGCTGTAAAGACGCACAATGAAGTCACTCCTTTTTACCGCCATTTTGAGCCTTCGGAAACGTTCGGAACAGCTTCTCATCTTATCCCATACCTGTGTTAAAAGCGGCTTTCTGATTGGTTTAGAGCAGGTGAGCTTGTCGCACAATGAAGTCACTCCTTTTTACCGCCATTTTGAGCCTTCGGAAACGTTCGGAACAGCTTCTCATCTTATCCCATACCTGTGTTAAAAGCGGCTTTCTGATTGGTTTAGAGCAGGTGAGCTTGTCGTCGAGCTCACCTGCTTTTTGCCGAGCTCACCTGCTTTTCGCCCGAACTCACCTGCTAAACTGCTTACGTTGCAATAACAATAACATTCGCCCGAACTCACCCGCTAAACTGCTTACGTTGCAATAACAATAACAAATATGGCGGACAAGATTTAGGCGATAAACCTAAACTTTAAAGAACTTTTTTCGGTGACTAACATACTGAGACTGAAGAAAAACCAAAGAAAAAATGCAGTAAAGGTAATGTAGACGTAGATAAAGAAGTATTTTCTTGCCCAGTGATTTTTTGGCCGGGAAAATGTTCACAAAACATCGACGAATATATCGCGAAGAGCTACAAATGTGTGTATGGCTCGGTGTATGGGATAAAAACCAAACGTACTTGCAGGTTCAGTGAGTCCGGGATTGGATGCACCTCGGGTGGCTGGAAGTTTCCCGAACTCACCTCGCTTCGCTCGGTAAGTTCGGGAAACTTCCAGCCACCCTCGGTGCGTCCAATCCCGGACTCACCTCCCTGCAAGTACGTTTGTTATAAAGTTCGCAATATTATTACAGGTAAGGTTGACGCATGCGCAGACGTTTTTCCGCGGTGTTTTACATTAGAGGGTCCTCACATTGTTATGAGCAGAACCGATGCGCAGAACGAACTTGGCTTCCACTTTAAACTAACCCAGCTTTGAACAATCGGCCCCTGATCTTTAAAAATACGTAAGCAGAAAAGCTATAAACGTAACGATTAACACACGGCAACCTGTCAAATTTCAATTACCTTCTTTTTTTACACCTTGTACGAATCAAAATTTCCAGCTATTTTGTGATTGCAGGAAGGTCTATCAGGCGTTCACTTCAGCGCAGAGAAAAGTCCGTTCTACAGTCAACTCATCATGGCAGAGGAAAGTGCTAAAACGTCAAAGATAAAAATCTGGGCAAACTTCGAGGAAACTAAAACTGTCGAAGTCGTGGATGACACTTCTGAAAGGCAATGCAAATATGAAAAAGTATGTTTTGATATACAGTATGTCTACTTTGCTTATTTTGAAGAGGTGGTTGAACGGGAACGGTTTTGATAATTTCTTCTGTAGTAACACTGGATCAATAAGACATGATCCTTACTGGACCTCTAGGAAGAACAGTTTAGAACTAAATGAGCTACCCAGTATGAATTAAAAATAAACGTTCTCTGACTAAGATTTTTATTTAAACGAGCTTTCGACTACCTAACTGTAGTCTTCGACGGGTAAAGCGGAATTGATTCCGAAAGTCGAAAGCTCGTTTAAATAAAAAATCTTAGTCAGAGAACGTTTATTTTTAATTATGTCTACTGGATCAATAAGAGATGACCCTTACTGGACCTCTAGGAAGAACAGTTTAGAACTGATAGACCTATCCAGTACAAATGAAGTTAGTTTTGTTTAGGTTTCTTCCTGTAGTAACACTGGATCAATAAGAGATGATCCTTGTTGGACCTCTAGGAAGAACAGTTTAGAACTGATAGACCTATCCAGTATAAATGAAGTTAGTTTTGTTTAGGTTTCCTCCTGTAGTAACACTGGATCAATAAGAGATGACTCTTACTGGACCTCTGGGAAGAACAGTTTAGAACTGATAGAGCTATCTCGTATAAATCAAGTTAATTTAGTTTAGGTTTCGTCCTGCAGTAACACTGGATCAATAAGAGATGATTCTTACTGGGAAGAACAGTTTAGAACTGATAGAGCTACCGAGAATAAATAAAGTTGGGGTCTCCTTTTGCAGTGAAATTTGACAAAGCGGACATTTCTTTCAGGTTGTAATCACAGAGGTTGAAGGTCCGCAGTGTTTCTGGGTGCAACATGCAGATAGTGGGACTGAGATCGAGCAAATGATGGAGAGACTGAGAACGAATCTAGCTGACAATCCACCAGTGCCAGGCTCTTTCACACCGCGCCGAGGAGAGCTATGTGCTGCATTGTTTACTGATAATAATTGGTAAGTGGTGAAGGAGAACATTCTGGTCACAGATGGTGATCAGAAATTATCCAACGTATAGGAGCAATGGGTAAACAAAATTTTGAGCGAGTAAAAGATTCGGTAAATGAAAAACAAAGCAACTCAAGGGTTGGGTAATATAAATATATTGTCATTTCCAAAGCATGACTTACTCAAATATTGAAGACTAAAAAGTACTGTCAACAGTCGCATGTCAATACAATATATAAATCAATCAATCACTCAAACAGAGTCAATATCTAAATTGATCATTTTCCTATTTGTCAGGAGGCAAATGGTGTCTCCAAAGAAAGTACAGGTGCAGACAACATGAAATTTTAAGACTGCAGAAAATTGCACAAGCAGTTATCAAACTCGTGCATGTCACAGAAGTGGTAAAGGACATGTGTGACAAAAAAGTTTTTTAAAATTTTTTAGTGATTGGATCAGCAAAATTTTCACCAAGAAAAACTCGTAAACAAATGTATTTATGTCGTAACTAATGTGTTTATGTCGTATCCTAGGTATCGAGCCAGAGTATTAAAAACATCTGGACCTAAAGAAATAACTGTCCTATATATAGACTTTGGAAATATCGAAGTTTTACCAATATCAAAGATACGAGCTTTGCCTCGCGACTTTGCAAGGTGAGTCCTCTCAATATCATGTTCAACTTCAAACGAAGTATCAAGTTTTGCTAAGTGAACAGCATGAATAAATACTGATTTTACTGACATGCTTTCTATTCGTTTCAGCATGAAACCTCAAGCGGTGGAATATAATCTAGCGTTGGTACGAGAACCAAATGATGTAAGTTAACGATATAGTCCGTTCTTCTGTAGGGATGCGACTACCTGAACATATATATAAGCAGAATTTCGACGTTTCGAGCTAAGACCGGTCCTTCGTCTGAATACTTTTGTGTTTTTCCAAGGGAAGAATCCAAGCGAAGTTTTTACATAAACTATATACACAGCAAAAAATCATTTTCTTATTAAGAAAACAATTTTTTTTTAAAATAAGAAACTGGTTTTCTTATTCTTAAAATAAAAGTATTTGACTTGCAAGATAACATGTTTACCCGTAACATGTTTACCATGCTTGGACTACCTATTCACACAGGCCGAGCATGGATAAATTTGGTACCAGGTACCACTAGATTATTCTTGCTATCTCAATGCCAAACAATTGTACATGTCCAGGACCCTTGTACATTAACCCATTGAGTGGCAGCACTCTTCCCCTATAGGAAAACTGTTGTACACTTAATGTATTACATTACATTATTAGTCAGCTCGCTCCCCATTGGGACTTTTCAGTGACCGATGACATCAAGTATTACGCTCATGTTATTTGCAGTACTTAGTCTACACGGCAAAAAACGCTCAGGTTGATGCAATACTGATGAAAACAGGATTGAACAATGTTTTTCTGCCCACATTGTTCATAGCTGTCAACAATATTGAACAATATTGTTACACCCGATTCAGGCTCAACAACATTGTTCAATATTGTTGACAAGTGTGAACAACATGGGCAGCAAAACATTGTTCAGTATCAACGGGCTCGGCGTTTTTTGCCGTGTAGACTATTTATCTTTACAACAATTCTGTTGAGCAACGGGCTCGGTTTTTTTTTTGCCATGCATGTAGACTATTTATCTTTACAACAATTGAGATATTACTTTCTTAACTGTGTTTATCCTAACCCACCCTGTCAACTTTTCCTATGGGAGGAAACCAGAGCACTCGGAGAAAACCCGCGACTTTCGACAGAGCGTTGACTGACTCTTTTTTCATGAGTCCGTAGCGAGAATCGAAGAGGCGAAAGGCGCTTGCTATGACCACAGTTTATTAACTGTGCACTGACGACTGCATCACAGAAGCCCCAGTTTTGTTTTCCCGAGAGTTTCCATGTTTTCTGAAACGAAGTTGAAGGAAACATCGAGTTTCGAGGAGAAACAAGACTATTTTCCGAGCGAACAGACATTAAATGTTTTGTTATATAGCGACGAAAGAAAAATCAGCAACATTCATACAACAATTGTATTTCATGACAAAAACTATAGTGTCAACGAGTTTAAACTTAAAGGAACCTACTTGAACGATTTCAGCAGCTTGTCCTGTTGTCTGTTGTGTATTTTCTTCTCTTTTTCATTTTATATTTTAACATAAACTTGGAAAATCGTAGTTTATAAACTCGCAAGTTATGCCGCCATTTTGTCGGGCGACAATTTTTCATTTGTTGCCCGACGGGATACATTGCATTTATCTAAAGCCACGTGACCACAACTCAACCAATCACGTTTGGTGTTCACCTTAGCAACAAAGTGACAAAAAAGTTTAATTTACAAATTCCTTTTCAGGAAGAAATGAAGTATGACTTGAACGCTGTATTTAAGAACAAAATATTGGTAAGAGTCAAGAACGATCACATGCATGTTTTCATATATTCCGTTGTATTTCACTAAGCACTACACCCTGTATTGTGCTGCAGACGATGGTCAACCTGTAGTTATCCGAGTTAACTGATGTCTATTGTGTTTATAGAACAACATGTTCTTACTTAACAAGGAATATAAAATTAATAACCAGGTGAGTTTGAAATGTGACAATTCCTGTCTGCCAACTCTTATTATTAAGGTTTACACTATCAAAGTTTCTGTGACCACAGTAGGAATTTTGTATAGGTAAATTCACGTTTTTGAAGGAAGTGACTCGGTGTTAAACACCAAGTCAGCTCCCTCAAACGTTTCTTACAAATCCTTCAAAACATAGAATCTACCGATGCAGTATTCCTACTGTGATCACAGAATCTGTGTGAGAAACAGAATCAAAGTTTCTGTGATCACAGTAGAAATTTTGCATGGGTAAATTCTACATTTTGAAGGATTTGTAAGAAAAGTTTGAGGGAACTGACTCGGCATTTAACAACGAGTTCCTACAAACAATCCTTTAGTCATTTACACACGTAAAAACGCACAAGTTGTAATAAACTTACAGCAGACTTGTAGCAATGCTGTTCCAGTAACTTGTCATCAGGATTTATTCGTACTGCTTGTTCCCAGCTTGTTGACCAGCTAGGCTATTAACGGCTTGTTGACAACTTGCTACAAGGTTGTTGAGCTCAACAGACTTGTTACAAGTTGTTCCAACAACTTGTTATCGTTCTGAAATTTAACAATTTGTCACCAAGTTGTGAGTGACAACCTTGTAGCAACTTGATAAAATAACAGCACTGTTACAACTTGTTAACAAGCTTGCTGCAAGCCTGTTGTTGACAAGTTGTGAGATTTTTACATGAGTATCATTAATAAATTGTTTCAAATCAATATTTCAAACCTGAAATTTTGATCTTAATTATCGATTGATTATAGCTTGATTATTGAGTGATTATTGATTACAGGAGTTCGTCACTCTCACTAACCCAGAAAGCAAGGAAGACATTGGCCGAGCGTTGATTGCTGAAGGATTGGCACTAGTTGATAAGCGGAATGAGAAGCGTTTCCAAAAGATGGTCAAAGATTACCTTGGAGCCCAGGACACCGCCAAGAAAAATAGAGTAAGTGTGACTATAGTGGTCTTGAAATACACGTACGTTGTGGTAGATTCTCACATAGGCTAAACGTCAAACTGTTGGTTCTCAGTGTAGGTAGTGGTCTTGAAATACAGATTCTCACTATTCTAAACTTCAAACTGTTGGTTCTCAGTGTAGATAGTGGTCTTGAAATACAGATTCTCACTATTCTAAACTTCAAACTGTTGGTTCTCAGTGTAGATAGTGGTCTTGAAATACACATCCTTTGTGGTAGATTCTCATTAGTCTAAACTTCAAACTGCTGTTGGCTCTCAGTGTAGATAGTGGTCTTGAAATACACGTCCTTTGTGGTAGATTCAGTGCGCTTATTGTATCTTTCGTCCTTCTTTTTAGTTAAACATGTGGCGATATGGTGACATTACCGAAGATGATGCAAAGGAATTTGGATATCCAACAAAATAAATATTCTTAATAATGAACAACATTTGAACACAAAGTAATAGAAATTGTCTTAACTTATTTTTGAAATAACGCATGTGAATGGCACTAGAGTTTTAAGAATTTCAGAGAGATGAATATCAAAATTTGAATTTTCTTTGTGTGTTTTTTCATTTGTTGGAATATTTTTTTCTTTACTGTCAACGTTTCTCAACATCTTGGCACTCGTTCAATAGACTGACTTCTACTTCAATGTACTTTGTAAGGTAAGTTTATCTCAATTTAAGAAAATATTTATTTATTAGCTTTACCATCGTACAAAAGTGCCATAAAATATATAACAATGATTGAACTAGTGAGGGAGGTGGAAAAAATTTAGGGGAGGTGCAGCAGTCTAGCTCACGACCCCCATAGAAAGTTAGGGCTTAGAACGGGCCAAAGTCAACGACGTGACGTATGCATGTAGTGTACATATGTATCAGTGTATTAATGAATTATGACTGTACGACTCATGCAAGTTCGCCCTTCATTACAATTACTACCAAGTTTCTTTCAAAACATTGCATTAAAAGGGTACTTGACACGGAGATGAATGGCTATCACTGTTTCAATTTTACCTCCCCTCATACTCTGGCCATGGATTGAAGGTATCAGGTATGGTCAACAGGACATGAGTCCCATGTGAAGACCAGCCTGAAAACATTAAACGTTTATCTCGTTAGATTTGCAGACAGCTCGGTTGAAAGTGATACCACTAATACAAAAATACAAGTGATTAAAGCTTTATTAAACAATCATCCCCATTAACCAGGCCAGCCCAGCCTCTAAAACTATAACATTGACCTATCCCCTACTACCTATAGTGGAGCTCAACTTTCATTCCCTGTTTCTTCTAGTCATGGCCAGTAACGCCAAGAGAACAACCAGTAGAGCGACAGATGAGCTTGCTATGAAAGCTTTTAGGAGTTTTGTTCTCCATTCGATACCCATTGTGCTGTTATGTTTTGTCTGTAAGAAAAAAGATCGTTTCTTCAGAGAAAGAAAAGAATTATAAGAACCTCAAACGTTGTGGTGCAGTGTTGGAAGTATTCTATAATAAGCTGTCGTGGTTTGTGTCTGAAGTACCTGAAAAAGGTATCTCAAACGTAGTGGTCCAGTGTAGGTAGTATTCTACAATAAGCTGTCATGGTTTGTGTTTGAACTACCTGTCATACCTGAAAAAGATATCTCAAACGTGGTGGTCCAGTGTATGTAGTATTCTACAATAATCTGTCGTGGTTTGTGTCTGAACTACTTGAAAAAGATATCTCAAACGTGGTGGTCCAGTGTAGGTAGTATTTTACAATAATCTGTCGTGGTTTGTGTCTGAACTACATGAAAAAGATATATCAAACGTGGTGGTCCAGTGTAGGTAGTATTCTACAATAATCTGTCGTGGTTTGTGTCTGAACTACTTGAAAAAGATATCTCAAACGTAGTGGTCCAGTGTAGGTAGTATTCTACAATAATCTGTCGTGGTTTGTGTCTGAACTACTTGAAAAAGATATCTCAAACGTAGTGGTCCAGTGTTAGTAGTATTCTTCAATAAGCGGCCGTGGTTTGTGTCTGAACTACTTGAAAAAGATATCTCAAACGTAGTGGTCCAGTGTTAGTAGTATTCTTCAATAAGCGGCCGTGGTTTGTGTCTGAGCTACCTCGTGAAAAAAGATGTCTCAGACATGTGGGTCCAGTGTAGGTAGTATTCTCACAAATGTATTATAGCTGAGAGTCTAAAACTTCGAGATATTATAACTAATGCTTGAGCTATACAAGGAAGTAGAATCAACTAGATATGGTCATCTCTTCATAATTCTCTAGCATCTTCAATAGTGGTAAAGAAAAATGTCCTACACTGACTGAGCAAAGTATCCATAACTCATTACTGCTTGTACAAAACTCAAATATCGTAATTCCTTGCACAACTGATAAACTCTTCAACATTCAGTGAAGATTTCAGGTCAATAGCTTGTATAGGTATTGAAAATCACAAAAGCAAATTCCGACGCGCCCTAGAACTGACAAATTGAGAAAATAAGCCCCACGTTTTGTAACTTTTGTTCCACCTTCCTTCTGTTAGATTATCAAGATAAATTTAACGTGAACGGCTTGAATATTAAAAAAATCCATTTCCCTCCCAAAATAATTTTTGTTGGATTTCTCTTACCGGTAATTTCCGAAATGTCTCGCTACGTTTGCCAGACTGTGCCGTATGACTGTCTTTTGACGGACGTGCATGATTCCTTGACAAAAATTCATCCAGTCTCGACTCATTTCTGTTCCCAATGTTTGCCCTCCCTTCGTATCCCGTCATATCAATGCCTGTCATTTCAATTTGAGACGTATGTTGGCCTCCTTTGGCATTGAAAGTTTCCTTTCGTCGAGTTATGTCCTCGTCTGCTTTGGCAGTTAAGGCATTCCGTACTCTCTCGTCATGTACATAATGTTTGGCAATTTTTCTCAGATTTACAGAGAACGCGAGATCAGTGGAGCTCTCTGATGGATAGAATACGAACTCTGCAGTCTTCTGCTTTGTTTTCCTTTCTTCTGATTGGCTGTTCGTCGTGCCTACGTCACAACAAGGGTATGTCACTATAACGTTGTGTGTGTTAATGTCGGACGGATCCTAGTGTAGTAATGTTGTTTAGAACCCCCCTTACAAAATCCAACACCAGCTTAAGAAAATGTGCTTGACCATGTACATTTTCTCGAATAGCGATTTGCGGAATTTCTACTGTTATTTCTCGAAACGATTTAATTAATTTGCGAGCTCACGAGAAAATTTTAGTTAAATACCAGGGTTAAGTACCCTAACATATTGGGGTCGTTATACAACCATATTTTCAAATATACTGTACGTGTAAAAACGTATGCATATACATGTACGTGTAAAAACGGATATAAACTTTATAAACAAAAGATAATGTAAAACGTATAACAGAACAGTGGACATGCAGATTCGGCCATCTCAAATAATGGTAATGTTGGGATAGTAGCGTTGCAGACTGCAGAGGAGAGTGGGCAGTAAGGCTCCCTCATGCACCAGCCCATGGAAAACCTGCACCCCTCCTTGCAGATGAGGCTAGATTCACCCCTGCTATAAAGTTATGTATGTAAATGTAGAAATATAGTTGATGCGTAGTTGTTCAGGCTTAAGTCAGGATTGAGGTTTTAATGAGACCATTTTAAACGCATCTTACCATATTTAGTGAGGTTCGTCTTTGCTTTAGTGACAAAAACCGTCGCCATACTATCGCCTTCATAGGCAGGCACAGTTTTGCAGTGTTGAGGACTGTAACATGTTATCCCATAGCAGAAATTATCTTTAAACAAAGCCAGTTCACAGTGCTTGCTTTCACAACATTGTAATACACAGACTTCAACGTCATTGACATGTCCTAGCTCGATAAACGTCCCTGATTTCAGTTTATGAAGTAATGTCGTGTCTTTCTGAATGCCCCCTGGCTTGCATGAATGTTTATTAAGTCGTTGATATAATTCGTTCGACCAAATACCTAAATGTACAACACGAACATTTCTGGTTTGGCAGAATGATTTATTCTATAATAGGTGAAGGACAAATAAGGTAGAAGGTATGGTCAACAGGACAATAATCCCATATTAAGACCAAGCCGAGAAAGACAGCAGTAGTTATAACAAATATATTTAAAGACATAAACACACATTAACACACTGATGTATTTGAACAAATATTGACATGAATAGTGCATGAAATGAACTAAGAGCAAGTTGGATTGTAGGAACGACATTTGGAACAATAACTCTTCCAAGTGCACATTCGATTGTCGTCAAAGGTAGATACAAGTTTGGAAAGGTAGTGAGAATACAGATTGTGTTTGAAAGAGGAAATAGAGGTAGACTCAATGATATGAGCGGGAAGATCGAAAGAAAAACAATCTGGTTGAAAAAAAAACGACTCTCTAAAAAGAGAAGTTCAGCAAAGAAGAGAAGATAATAACCTTTGTTGGTTTGAGAGGCAGAGTCTGAGGAGAAAATGAGAAAATAAGAGGCACCTATATCATGCATGAAGACCTTGTAAACAGTTGAAAAAGAAGAGAAGGTCCTTTACTTCCAGCCAGTATAAGATATTGGAAGTAATTTGAGCGTTTGAGTTGCACAGGTCAAGACAAGTCAAACTTTCAAAGTCTGGTCAGAGAGATCTGCATTAATGAAGAGGACGGCTTTTTAATTTAGCGAAATGCAGGAAATGATTTGCTGTCAAGTGTGTAGTGTGATATATACTCACTGTAGTTAGCTTATTCCGAGGTGGTAAACTCAGGACTGCATGGTTCTCACCATCAAAGTGATCACAGTAAGAATTTTGCTTGGGTAAATTCTATGTTTTGAAGGATTTGTAGAAATATATTAGGGAACTAACTCAATGTTAAACAGTGACTCAGTTCCCTCAAAAATTTCTTGCAAATCCTTCAAAACGTAGAATTTACCCATGCAAAATTCCTGGTGATCACAGAAACTTTGATAGTCTGAGTGTGCATCCACACCGGGCAAGCTGAAAATTTAGCTTGGCCACGGTGCATGGGAATCGAACCTGCGACCTTTGGGATACTAGTCCAATGCTCTGCCAACTGAGCTACGTGGTCAAGTCGGTTCGAGATGGCGATATTTCGGAACTGAGTTTAGTTCCTTCGACATCAGTGTATTCTATGATATGATTATTTTGTGTGTGTTGGTGTTATGTACTCAGGTGAATATGATGTTTGTGATGTTAAACCTTCCTTTAATGAGGGTATACTGTGTTCTTTCTTGTAAAAAGGTCGGGGGTCTAATAGAGAGGGGGCTTTAATAAATATCTTCCTCAGAATGGTGGGTGGGGTAATGCAGAGGGAAGGGAGGGGGGGGGGGGTATTTGAGATGTAATATAATTGATTTAAAAGAGCTGTGATGAGCAATGTAATGCTGAATCTGTTTGTACATCAGGAATGTAGCATGTTCTACATGATCTGAGCTCTGCCAATGAATTGATGCTTTGATTTATAAGAAATGCTATTTTCTGCAGCTAGGCATGATAAAAAGAAATTATTCTTACCATTGCATGCTCGGCATAATTATATGTAAACTACACTCACATTTCACCAAACCTACCTTTGGAAGCATTCGTTTTGCTATCTTGCATGGAGAATTGAGCAAGAAATCCTGTCAGCATTACATTTAGCACCATATCTAACCTCGTATTCATATTGCAAATACCTTGTTACATTATATAGACTGTAGGTTTATACAATATATTATTATACAATTATTCTCAGTATTGCCATTTTACAATTCTACCGTTAGGTTATATTTAGCAGTCGAGTCAGTATACACAGCAGGTCTTTTACAAGCCAAGTAAACAACAAGGCCATATGTCACACAGAGCCATCTTATGTAGAAAAGTACTAACAGTAATTTTGCGACCATCATAGAAGTTCACTCGTTCACAAAAACACCAGAAAACTGCGCATTAATCTGAATTCAACTCAGTAAAACTTCCATGTTTCGAAAGGCGAAAGCTCTTCGTCGGGTCTATACTAACGTCTCGACGAAGCTCCTTACTCGAAACATCGGAGTTTTACTTGTATTTTCCACGAAGTTGAATCCCTATCCATCCATGACCTGTTTCCTCTGATGATGTTGTTGATGCTTTTCACTCTTATTTCATTGTCACTTGGCCTGGGAGAACGAAACGTCGCCGGAGTAACACATGGTCGCAATTAATTCTCAGCAAATATTACATTGTACATTATCGCCTCTGTATTCTAAAAGCTTTAATCTTTAATCTTTAATCTTTAATAAAATTATTTAAACACGGTAGCCTGTTCAGCAGATAATATTTACAGCGCTGGTTTTCAAAGGGCCGTGTGTTTACAACAATAATATAAAAAGGACAAAAAGAATATAACTATTTACAATGAATTGATACGGATGAATTAAGTAATTGCCGTTTAAACGACAAAGTTGAAAGATTGTTATAATTTTCAATAGTTTCACTTGGAAGTTCGTTCCAGGACTTAGCAGCTCTATACGAGAAACTTCGTTTGAGAAAATTTGTCTTAGGTTTGGGTAGGTTCAATTTAATTTGATTGCTTCTTAGATTGTAATTGTCATTTTGACTTACTGAAAACAATTTTTCAAGGTATCGAGGTAATCGACCAGTTAGTACTTTAAATGTCATTATTAACTGTCGTTGTTTTAGAAGTTCTTCTATTGGAAGCCAATTAAGACTATCTAGCGTTTGCATGGAACGAACCTCATATGTGTCCCCTGTTATCACACGCGCTGCTCTCTTCTGCAGTATAAACAATTTATCAATTATCGAACAACATCCATCATTCCAGATTGTTGAACAATAATTGAAATGAGGCCACACTAAGGCATTGTAGATTTTTATCAGACTATCTCTATTGACAAACAATTTTGCTCTTTTCAGCAGGGCGATATTATTTGAAATTGTTTTACATTGCATTTCATTATGTTTATTCCATAATAAGCTCACTTGCAGTCAAAGAGTGGAGGCTAAATCTGAGCTTCCCTTGAGTGTCAGTGCAGTTTTTGAATAGCTGAAGGGTTAGTGTCGTACCTTAATTACTGTGTGACTATATACTCACCCTCCTGCTATTTAAAAACAGCATTGACACTCAAGGGAAGCTCAAATTGAACTTCCACTCATTGAGTGCGAGTGCGAGTGTGCAGTGAGCTTTTAGAATACAGGCGTATATAAATCATCTTCATAACAATTATTTTCTATTTGGGGCTGTAAATATATGGAAGCCGCGGTCTCTCGCGAGATCTCGCTGGCCCGATTGCCGAGATCTCGCGCGCGCGCGCGCTTGAAAGAGGCGAGATCTCGCTTACCGGCATGAAAATTTCTCCATATAAACACTCGCAAGTGGGCTGGCCCGGCTGCCGATTTTTAACAACTGGCAAGACCACAAAACTGTCACGAGAGAAATTCATCCCACTTTTACCGGGCTGTCTCGCTAAGCGGACCAGCCCGGCTTCCATATAAACAGCCCCTTATATCTTGCCACTAAGAATAGTCTAAGATAGGTCGATAATAAGTCTATATATACAGTACTGGGGTTACACTAAACGTGAAGGTCCTTTATGGTAAAGGGACGGACGGAGGTTTTCAAGGTTGTTAAGACGGGAAGCAAAAAACAGCCATGAGATACTTATAACAATCTTAAACCTTACCCTACACCTACCCCAATCCCAACATTAAACACTAAACTAAAGCACACTCTGAGTTTAAATTTTGAACTATCTTGAAAACCTCCCTCATCATTTTTAAGTTTTAATCATCACCCAAACTTTTTAGGAACTGCTATTATTGATGGATAAACCCCTAAGAACAATGGCAACAACTGTATACTACAATAGTCGGTTGCCAAGGCATTTTGACTTGATCAAGTTTGTAGATCCACATTTACATTCGAGATTCTTCCCCTTATTCTCCCATGAGATCTTCTGTTTCAAGACCGGCGTCAAATGCGTGTTTTCTGCGTTTAGCTAAAACTTTCTTGATGATGAAAGCGACTGTTGCAGTCCCAACTATAGCGGCTGCTACTCCACAGCCAACCGCGACAGCCAGTGCTGGCGATGTTATCCGAGACGATCCGTCCTAGAGAAAGTCGGAGAGTTCCCGTTAACGACGGCAGATTGGTGGTCAACTTTAGACCGTTTCGAAAAATAGCTATCAATCTTTTTTCTCCCTGAAATTATTTCAGCCAAATTAATCACTGTGCTGGAATTAACAAAGAAGACTGACTATAGCCTCTTTTTGGTGCTTTTATGTATATTTCCAAAGGGCTACAATTTCACTTGCATTCATTGTTTTCAATGATAAACTTTTACACTTTCCCAGTTAAAGAAAGGTCTCTGTTGAAAAATTGTTTATTAGCTTATAAAATAATGTTAAATCAGTGTGATAGCTACTTTTCGAATCGGTCTATAATAGAGCAGGAAAATTAAACTGCACTTCTCAATTGTATTTATTTGCCTCCAAATACCAGACTACTACATCTACTGAAAAGAATTAACATCATTTTCTCGCTCTGATAACTGCAGGTTGATCAGCATCTGCTGCGCGATAGTGCTTACCTGCAATTGTGTGTTCAAACACAAAAGAGTATTGCATATCGATCTTAGTGCGTTTTCTCACCTTTGCTTGTTTTCCAATACCTAGGTCTTCTGTGTTTTCCTGACCTACAGTTTGGACACAATAATACATTGAGATAACTCCATGGATAGGAATGACGGGAATATATAAAGGTAATCAGTGCTTCCTCCATCACTTCTAAACTGTTCTCCCAAGAGGTCCAGTGATGATCATCCCTTATTGATCCAGTGTTACTACAGGAGGAAACCTAAACTAAACTAACTTTATTTATACTGGATAGCTCTATCAGTTCTAGACTGTTCTCTCTAGAGGTCCAGTAAGGATCATCTCTTATTGATTCAGTGTTACCACAGGAGGAAACCTAAACTAAACTAACTTTATTTATACTGGATAGCTCTATCAGTTCTAAACTGTTCTCCCTGGAGGTCCATTAAGGGTTGAAATATAAACTAAACTAACTTCATACTGGATAGCTTGTTCATAGCAGTATGTAGGGGGTTACCTGGTTCGTAGTAACAGTAATATATCTTCAAATTAAATGGATCTTCACTGGGTCCATAGGGGTAAGCACCCCCCGTGCCATCAGTATTCCCTTGATCATCATCATCAAACTTAACAAACTCTGACGTCACTCTCATGCCTCTGACTTTCTGACATTGAGCTGAATCGTACGTGAGTAGGTAGAAAGGTTTGAGGTTTGGCAGTTTTGCAGGATTGTTGATGTTCCCCTTGGTACTGCAGCAGTATTTGATCGTGGTGTTGGTTTTCTCGTATATTCCGTCAGGCAAACTGCCATAGTTCGCGTTGTTCAGGTCGATTCCTGATTGTTCATCATCCCAACGTATGAAACCTTCTTTAAGAGCAGTTGGACAGACACCTTGACAATTTGAAATAGTTTAGTTGACCGTAGTCAGAGGCAGTCAGTTTCTCACTATCTCACTGGCTCTATCAGTTCTAAACTGTTCTCTCTAAACGCCCAGTAAGGATCATCTCTAATGATCCAGTGTTACCACAGGAGGAAACCTAAATTAAACTAACTTTATTTATCCTGGGCAGCTCTATCAGTTCTGTACTGTTCTTCCTAGAGGTCCTGTAAGGATCGTCTCTTATC